TATTTCTTCTTGTAACAGGGAGACACTGCCTCTGTTACAGGAACATCTGGACAAAGCACCCATTTTTGTTGAGAACTTTGTTCGAGCCATGGAACTGAGTGACATATTGACTATTTACCCACCCAGAACGCTAAATACCCGCTATGGATTTTGGTGAAGTATCCATTACTTGCTGACAGCGGTGAGGTGTTCGACCAGATTGAGACAACAAAAGGCTGAATTGCCAAATAAGTCTTCCTGGCTGGCGTCGGACAACCGGAGATTGACAACAGCTGGGTGGAAACATTGTATAAAGGAATGTTGGTGAGATCAGTCTTCCCCAGAAGGGGAAGAGGAGCCAAGGCTTTAGACGCCAGAAATGGCAAGCAGCCTGCACAAAGGCGCCGGTGATGGGAGAGAAATTTGCCGAGTATTTCTTGTTGGAGCAGGGAGTGTCAGGGTATCCAGCCCGTTGGAAGACAGATTGCTGATTCAGGGAGACGATTGCAGCTCCATCCGGATCCGTGACCAGGACTTAGCTGCTGCAAGTTGATAAACAGGGCAGGTTTGCAAACACCCACCCGGTGAGTATTCATTGGGGGACTGATAAGTGAATCGGGAACTTGTAGGGAGAGCTGGCGAAGGGATCGACAGCAGGCAGCTAGCCAAGTTACACCTCTTGTGAGCGGGCATTACTGATGCTCGCTATTAAAACTAAGTAAGCACTCCTCTCGTGTGGTGTCTCCCTTGTATTACTCCCACCAAAGTTGTGGCAGGAAAGATTGACACCGAAATGAGGGAAGACAAAGCTATAACATCTTCTTGTGTGCCCGAGAAGAAGAACATGCTTACACTTCTAAACCAGCATTACTCAACTTGTGGGTCATGACTCAAAAGTGGGTTGCAAAAATATATGAAAGGGTAGCAAACAAATTTTAAAAATTTCCTTTAAAAGAGAAAAACATGGGAAACTGTGGTTTTCCCCTGAAGACTGGCAGAGTTCCAGCTTGGGAGGGGCTACTTGGGGCCACCTATATCCCACAAAAACCCTCCACTGCCTCCCCACCCCACACACTGGGGACCTGGGGGCAGGGGGCAATGGGTTGCGACTGTCCATTGATGTTTACAAATAGGTCCTGGTACAAAAAACTTTGAGAACCTCTGTTCTAAACTACAATTGTCATTACTGGGCTGAGCTGCACCAAGCTGCCCCCAGTAAGGGAGACCCAGACAGAGACACCTAAAAGGCCAGAACCTGCCCATGACTTACAACTGGAAGATCTCCCAGGGAAAGAAGAGGCCCTCAAAATTACTTAGTTTACTTCTGCCTGGGACTACAGACATGTCAAAAATACTCAGTCACAATGGTATCAATGGCAAGTAACAGTCCTGAAAGAATCTGAAAGACCCCCTGTATCTTATTGCCATGGCAAAATTCCGCGGCATACCTCTTCATTTCTGACGGCACACTTTTGTGCCATGGCACACTGGTTGGGAAACACTGGTCTTGACCATGTCACTAGGGGTGCACTGATAAATATTTCTGGGGCTGATACTGATAGCCAGTATCAATCTGATTGCTGATATGCAACCTGGCAGCTTGGAGAGCAGCGTCCAGCTAGTAAGTCTGTTGTACAGGAAGGGGCATGGTAAGGGAGGCAGATCAAGGCCTCTGCAGTGAGAGAGGGAATGGGGCTGGGGCAGGGTGCAGGACAGAGCTGGCAGCTTGTCCAGGGGACACAGGGAGGGGGGAGTGGATCCTGCCACTACGTGCACCCTAGGGGAGCAATGGGGGGCATGTGCCTCTTGAATTTGTGCACGGGGCAAGGGCAGGCTGCTACTGCAGGCTGGGGCAGTGGCAGCTCCGAGCTCTTCCCAGCAGGGGGGCTGGGCCAAGGCTGAGCTTGGGGCAGGTGGCGGAGGCGCTGGGAAGGGGGGACCTACAGGGTGGGCTGTGGCCACCCCAGAATTTGCCATAGCCTGCCCCGTAGCTCCTCCCGCCAGAGCCACCAGCGCCCGCCCCAAGCGCAGCCCCAGCCCAGCCCCCCTGTCAGGAAGAGCCCAGCACTGCCCCAGCCCCAGCACCTACCCCAGCCCCACTCCCTCCCTCACCACAGGGGCCTCAATCTGCCCTCCCACATCCCTTCTTGCCCTCCACCCTTTCCCCCACAACAGACTTACCAGCAGGACGCTGCTCTGCAAGCTGCCAGGCTGGCTGCATGCATGCTGCAGCTGCACACATACGGGTAACATTTATTGGCAACATTATTGGCCGCATCAGCCAAAGAAAGCCAATTGCTAATAATGTTATTTTTCCTTTTACTGGTGTCAATACAATATGGATCGATGTATTGGTGTACCTCTGCATGTCACCCCTTTCTTAGAAACCTTCCATCAGTTCCCTATTCCTGATATAAACTGTTTATTTTCACCTTCAAGGCTGTTCACAGCCTGATCCCTGCTGTACTGTTTCTCTCTTATTCAGTAATAAGAGGTCAACTCCTGCTCCAAATTGGCCCAGGATGCCAGGCTTCATCATGTACTTGTTAAACTTTTAAACAAATGTCCTCATGCTTTTTCCTGAGTTACCTCCACGCTTCAGAGAAGCTGTCTGTAAACATGTACAAAGCTACTTCATTGTTAGAAGGCAGGGTACACTTGTACCTTTATAGAGTAACTACGATACATACGTATATATAGACCCAAGATCTTGTGAACCCAGTTGCACTTCATCAGATGCTGTGGAAGGACAGGACTTGTTGTCACACAGAAGTTGCCTTAATATCGTCTTCTGCTGTAATGTCTACAAAAAAAACTGTCGACCGACAGTTAGGCTGCAGCTGCACAGACCACTGAGCACTGTGCTGACTAATTCTCTCTGATCCTTTTCTTGTACTGCCCCATCTGCTAATGTCCTTGACTAGGGATGGTCAACCTTCGGTCCATGGGCCAGATCTGGCCCACAGCCCCATCATCTGGCCTATCAGGCTCCCCATGGGGTCCAGAAAATTGGAGGCAGGAGAGCGGTGCCACTGCTGCCCCACACTGCCATGTTTCCAGACCCATGGGAAGTCCTGGACCCCACTCACTGGATTGGGCATCTGATCCCAGTGCTCAGGGCTGAGATGGCAGCAGAAGGCCCCTGGGCCCAATTCCAGTATGGGGAAGCTTCAGGCCCCCAGGGACCAATCCTAGCCAGGTGGGGTGGGAAGGGGTGATACCAGGCCTCTGGGGACCAATCCCAACATGTGGAAGAAGGGGACAGAGCTAGGCCCCTGAGAACCAATCCTGGCATAAGGGGGTGGTGCAGGGCTCTGGGGCCTGATCCTGGTGCATGGGGAGGGGCATGGAGGAGGTGATGCAGACCTCAGGGCCAGATCCTGGCCTGCAGTGCTCAATCTGGCCCACAAACCATCCCACCCCCCTGATTTGGTCTGCAGAGCCAAAAGGTTGAGCACCCTCTGTCCTTGATCATAAAAGTAAATTGTCAGCTCTATGAGACAGGGTCTGTCTTTTTGAACTGTGTTTGTACAGCACCTTGCATAATAGAGTCCTGGTTCATGACTGGGGCTACTAATCACTACAAGTATAGTGAAAGAGGCTGAATTATTGCAATAGCCATGCTGGGAAGAACTGAAGGGTGATATGCGACCTCTGTCTCAGGATTTTTGGGGGGGAAAGGCTGAAGAAGTGAGGGAACAGGGAGTTACATATTTGGATTATGCTGGCCTGTGAACACGTCCTAACTGTTGATCCTAGATCAGGTGGAATTGTTTTCAAATATGAATGTTTAAAATGACAGACCTGTTTTTGCACTGTCTGCTTAGGAAAGAAGCATACTATACATTCAATATGCATTCATTAATTCAGTATTTAAATCAGTATTCCCAAGACTGTGCATTCATTCATTATAAATTATTCATTCTTTTTGCTTTGTTTATAGACTTTCTGGTGCTCTTTCTTCCCTCCGGAAAAAATAAAAATATCCCTCCCACACAGGCCATAATGGAACATACCACCATGAAGGAGACTGAGCAGGATTCCCCAACATGCAAGACAACCACGTCCATAAAATCAGAAAGCTTGTAATGTTGGACAGGGACAGGAGATAGTGAATGGTAACTGGCTGACTACAAGGTCATAATCTACACTGAGCTATCACAGAGAGGACACAGTTGTGTATTTATACACAGCTGATACATGTTACTTTATAGCTTTTAAACACTAATGTCCGGATGTCCAGTCAAAGGAAAACCTGGGTAGCTCCACGAAAATCAATGCCAATTAACACTAATCAAGGATCTGAATTTGCAGCACAGAACAGCTCACAGTACCTCAACCCCTATGTTACCAAGCTACCTAGATGACAAACTGCCTGTTCCCCAAGGGCTAGCTCAACAGCACATTATAATGCAAGCTTGTGGCTTGCTACAGGGACACTGTAAAGAAGCCTCTTCAAACCAGGGTTTGTGCAGACTCAGGTGCATCTAGCCTCTATCACAGCAGTTATGAATGGTTACATGCACACATTACACCATGGACCCTGAAGAAGCCCTTCCTCTTTTTTGTGACTTTTATAAGGTAGAATCCTCTTCAGCTTAATCATCATAGGGCTGACAGAACGAAATGTGCCTGAGCTTTAACTAAACTCCAGGATGCTTCCCAGAGGCACCCAACAATAATCCAACACAATAGCTTTTTTATTCTTTCCTCTTCTGTGAACAGCTGTGCCAGGAAGTGGAAATGGTTTTGGGGGAGAGAAGGGGTGTGGGGGTTGGGGTTACTCCATGTTTTAGGAGAGGGTGGAAATGCAAGGAGTAAATATTTGCCCATCTGCTTCAAAATCAAATACCGGAGCATACACATGCACACACAGACACAAAGTTTACCTGACACACAGCTATTAACTGACTGGTGAGGCACAGACCATGGGCAACCTACACTCCTGCTCCAACCCCAACTATACTCAGTATTTCCAAGACAGTTCAAGAACAACAAAGAGCAGCTAGCTCCTCACTTACATTGATCATAGCATTGGAGGTGATTCTGAATAGGGTAGCTCGCTCATTCACAGCTTTGATCTTCTCTCCGCTCTCTGCAGGCAGCTTCAGGTTCTCCAGCTCACTCAGGGACCTCTGGAGAGCCGCTCCATGTTTAGCTATAAGATCGTTGCATGTGCTTAGATCCTCCAGTTTACTCGAGAGGGTTTTCAGAGTGCTGTGCAGTTCACTCTTGTCAGATTGAGAGGCTGGTTCCTCATCACCAGAGTCATCTGTAAAGGGGGATGGGAGTAGAGAAAAAAAGGTTTCTATGGTTACCACTGGACTGTACTAAACCATGAAGTCAGGCTGTGCACAAAAAGTGAATCAAGACCTCCTTGTTTATGCTGCGTGCCAGCTCTTCCAACAATTCAGATGGGGCACAGGGAGCAACTGCCTCCATGCTGTTCTTCCTAAAAAGCTTGAGCTGCACAACCCAGATAGGAGCCCGGGGGAAGCACTCAGTGGCTGGAGCCTGTACTAGTATAGCTGTCCTGGTACCAATGCCAAAATAAGTCCATTTAAAGCGGTCTCACCTGTCTACAAAAGCTGCAATCACATCCTTGTCTTGCAGTGTAAATACACCCTGGCATAAACTGAGCCAGTAAAGTGGGCTCTGAAAGCCCTGTATTCCTAAGGAAAATGACCTTTTTGGAAAAGATCTGGTGAAATCAGAAGAGAATAGCAGCCTTTCCACAGAACTTTTAAACCAACCTATAGACTCCTGCTGATGAGCCCCGGCAGGATGCTCTGATTAGGGAGGGATTTAACCCCCATCCTGGTCTGCACCTTCTCAGACTTTCCCCTTCTCGCTGCTCATTTCCTGCTCTGTCTCTATTTAACTGTGTAGGTAGCTTTAAACATTTTACAGAAAAAGCGATCACCCTCTGCTGAATGCTGCAGGTTTTTAGAGAGATGTATGTATGAGGCTCATCTCTTTTAAGTTTTCTAGGAGTCTTCCCTAAGGGTATGTCTCAAAATCCTCGATTCCAGTGAAGGTTCTTCCATGTCCATTACCAGCTTTTCCCTTCCCTTCTCCTGCCTCAGCTGGGGAACAGGTAGAGTGCTGGCAGGTGACTGCTGCACACAGAGAGAGGAGGTTACATGTCAAGCTAAGCTGCTGAGGGGCTGTCATGCTTTGCACAGCAGACCTTGCTTTAGCAGCAGCAGCTGACACTGGGGAGGGATGAGTGACTTCCATTAATGTCAACATAAAAGGAAATATGTTTTAATATTTACAACAACAGCAAAACTTTCACGGTCCACTGAAGGGAAAACATAGATGTCCAATATCACTAAACTACAAAGATAATGGTTACCTTGCAACTTAAAAGCACTGTGCGATTAAAATAATGCATAGGCAGGGTAATGCAGTCATTTAAAAAAAATGGTCAAGCTCCCTCCCCTGGAGTGAAGTGCAATGAACCTAAACAGTGGGAATCTATGACATTCTGAGAAGGCACAAGGGAATTGGCAAAAAATCTTTCCCAAAGCGGGCTGAAAGCACTCATTCTGCTGCAGAGAGCTACAGGAGTGGTTCCTAAACACGTTAGTGCCTACCTGTCAAAGAAACGCATGCATTTTGGCTCTTACTGTATTATTAAAAATAGACTCAATTGTGTACACAGCTACCATGCTGTCTTTCAGTGCATGCCTTACCACATCACCAAGTCACCTTCCCATGGCTCTACTACTGCACTAGGGAAGGTTCCTCTAGACAGCCAGAGGGCCCAATGTTGCAATGCTCACAAGTAGCACGATGACAATAAATGCTAACTTCTGAGACAGACAAGGCTTTGTGACAGGAGTCTTTTGGGCTTCCATTCCACTTGGAGCAATCTACAACCCCTTGCTCTGCCTCCATACCGATGGGCAGATCTAGGATTTTGAAACAGGGGGTGTGCAGCAGCAAGTGGTGTTGCAGGAGTGGCTGCACCCCAGATCCCAGCCAGCCCCCCCAACTGGGGAGGTTGATCACACCGCAGGAAACCTTTTCGTATTGCCAACTCTCATGATTTTTGGCATTGTTCTTAAAGTATATGCTTTGGGAATGTGAGAAACTTAGCTCTTTTTTAATATATATTTATATATACACACAACTCTTTCATTTATATATATAAATAAATGAAAGAGCTAAGTTTTTCATGTTCCCAAAGCATAAACTTTAAGACCACCAAAAATCATGAGAGTTGGCAACACTGCTTTTTAAAGTCCCTTCCCCTCCCCTTTCAAATGAATGACCTACTGAAGAATGTCTTGCATTTGAAAGCTTGCTTAACATTATCTCAACTATGCAGTTGGTTCACTAAAGGATTTCACCCTAAGAAACCCTTTCCCTTTCCACAGTTAATTGTTCTCACTCCTACCAAGCAAATGAAAAAGTGCTGGAAGTGAATGCAGAGCTTGCTGCCTGCTTTCTTGCACCTTCTCCACCTGGCAAAGCATGGGCGACTGCTGCCACCTCAGTTGGGGGGGCATGTGCCCTCCCCCCCCGCAAACAGTCAGCGACGGGGCAGGAGGTGGCAACATGGCCAATCTCACCCAGGAAGCAGTTTAAGCGCTCCCAGGAGCAGCCACAGCACTTCATCCAGGCACTCCCACTCCCCAGCCAGCACTCGCAGGGGGGGCACCGGTGCTCCTGCCTGCCCGCCCTGTGCCCGTCACCTAAGGTGGGGAGCATGGCTGTCAGGGGGTGCACCAGTGCTCTCAGGGGGTGCACATGCACCCTCATGTATCCCCTATGCATCACCACTGTGGCAAAGCAAAGAGGTAATGAGAAAGGAAAAGGCAGTGGGTGTAGTGTGTGATGTCACATGATTCTTAAATTACAAGACAGACACCACCCTGGTGATGAGAGACCTCGAAGGTACCTCAGTGACAGCTGGGGAAGGATGAATGCACCAGCACATTGGGCTTTCTGTACCAGAATAAAAGGCCTAGCTGCTCCTGCCAGCATGTCTAATAAATGGGTGATTTCTTTACTCCTAGTTTATTTATAACACTTTTCAAAATCATACAGTTTTATTGAGATGGATATTTAGCTATCATTCAATAACAGCATATTGATTCTACAGCTTTTGGGTAGGTAAAGAAACTGAAGGGGAAACAACCCTTGGTTTAATAACACTTAAGCCACGTTTCTAACCCAGGAATCAGAGCAATTTGGATATCATAAAATAACTATCAGCTCCAAGTGCTAATGAAGATGAGGCAGCAACATACTGAGGAGTGTGTTGTGCTGCAATCCAGAGCCAGTTACACAGGGGTGTAGTGATAAAACTTGGCTTACATCGTCAGTTCAGTGCTAGGGTCAACAGGAACAATCTAGTAGTTCTCCCTCTCCTCTGTTCTCCTATAGGGAATGGTGATCGTTTGATACATCCCAGATTTCACAACTTGATAAATGTGCAAGGAGCACTGCAAACTGGAACAAGAAAAAGACCACCAGGGTAGGTATGAAGCAAAGCAGAAATGAAGGAGGAGGAAAATACCAGCAAGTGGACAAACTGAATCTATTAGGGGTGTGCAAAACAGGCCCTAATCGACTTGGATTCAAATTCAGACTGAATTGGGGACAGTGATTTGATCATTGATTCGGATCACTGTCCCCGATTCAATTTGGACGAATCCGAATCTGAAGTTTCGATGCCGATTCAGAGAATCAGCAATTTGGACATAAACACAGCTTTAAATGTTTTTTCTACATGCCTCGAGGTACCAGACGCAGCTTGTGAACGCTGCAATGCTGGGGTGGATGGAGTGCCCCACATGAGTGTGGTGGGGGGCCCCCTGCATGCTCAGTGGCGAACCCAGAAGTGGACCAGAAGTACTTCCAGTCCACTTCTGGGTCTGCCAGGAGCATGCTGGGGGCCCCCTGCATCCCGCCAACTCGGCGATCAGCCGCAGGGGGACCCTGGGTGCCCCCCCAGACCCAGGAGGCACCAGTCGCCAAGCTGGGGGGGGAGCTTCTGGTCCATTTCTGGGTCTGCTGCCAAGCATGCTGGGGAGCCCCCTGTGCTGCTGTTGGACACTCCATGTGCCCCTGCATCGCCGCATTTACGAGCCGCCTAGTACCTAGAGGTATGCAGAAAAAACATTTAAAGCTGTGTCTATGCCCGAATTGCCAAATCTTCCCAAATCTCTCCAAATTGATTCGGAGTGATTAAAGGGTCCTCTGATTCGATCCATGGCACAGAATCAGACCATGAACATGAGAACCAATTAACAAGGCTACAGGGGAAGAATGTACCATGGCTACTGAAGGCAAAGAAAATCAATGCTAGTGTTTGTACCACTAAGCAGAATATCATCCCTGAAACAGTCACAAGAAAGGCAAACAACTAGTCAAAGGAGATTTGAGTATGGCAGGAGAAAGAAGGAGCTGCTGATGACAGTGATGTCAACTGTCAGTCATGCAACATGACAAGAGCATTAGAGCTCAAGATATAGTCTGACATGGGTTTTGGAAGCAGGCCAGGACACAGAAAACAACCAGGAAAATGAGACCAGGTGGGACTGTCTGGGCTACTTTCCACTGCCCAGTGAACAGATATGATGGAGACATATACCAATTGGCATTATACAAGATTTTGTGTTTTGGCTGGTGGAATAACAGCAGAAATCTATCAGAGATGGAGAAACAAAATCAATAGATGGATCCAATGCTGGGTCAGGAGGGACTTTTTTTACTTAACTACTCTATTTTCTTATTACCTTGTTCCCTAACCAACTCAAACCCAATACAAGTCAAGTCAACCAGCCTCTCTGCCTATTGGCTGACTAGCAAAGTATTTTATTTGTCAGCCTTCCTATATGCTGGCTGAATTAGATCCTGGTTGAGAATCAGCATTACGAGCTGACTAGTTCCAGGGGGATAGATGATCATCCCAAATGCCCAGCAAAGCAGGAAGGAGAGTGCTTTCACAGAGGTAGGCAGTTACAGTGACATGGTTGGCAGCTTTGATTGAGACTAACATGTTGCCTCATGTATCTGGACTCCTCCGGTCAGAAAAACCATGACTGAAAGTACCTCAGTATCTAAGATGCTGTCAGTATCTGAATTGAAATCCGTGGTGGAAGTGAGAGAAGAGTATTGATTCAAAACCTCAAAGCAGTTAGCATTTTCTTGGCTTTGCTCCAGTCTCTAACTAGCTATGCCCATAAAAATACAAAGCTTAAACTGAGCTGGGCTCATGTTTTCTAGCTATCAAAATTGTTCCCTGGGAAAGAACAA